CTTTTTATTACTTGAGCTGCACTTTGTTTTATCTACTGGCGTTTATCTGCTTTTTTATATACATTACTTGTCAAACTTTTTATTATGTGTGACATTTACTTTTACTCTTGTGTCTTTGAGTAAATTATGATGGTTTCCTATATTTTGTTACCCATAGTTTTGAGGAGTGGTGAGTACAACAGATAGGTACAGATATAATGTTTTTACAATCTTTCCTAACTTTATATAATAATTACATCCAGGGGGAAAAAAGAAAAAAGAATAAAACGAACAAACAAACAAACCAAAAATGCAGAAAAAATTGAATTCATACAGAACAATACTATATCAGGGGTAGTTTGTTTTTGTAGGTCAACACTGTCAGCAGTTTGGAGGAATTTTACCATTAAGGAAGAAGACACGAGCGAGACTCACTGTAAGAGTTGTTCTGTTATGACACCAACCAAATCAGGTTAGGTCTGTCTGTTTCTCTGTCTGTTACTCTGTCTGTTACTCTGTCTGTTTCCTCTGGGCTGAATCACTGTCATCTCACTCACCTGTGTCCTGTCATTACCTGCTCGTTAGTCTCACTGGTCTCACCTGGTGTCCTGGGTATAAAAACCTTTGTCCCTCACTCACTCTTTGGTTTGTTGGTTGGAGTGGGTTGTTGTTGCTGTGTGTGTTAACATTGTGTGTTAACATTGTGTATTTGTGTTTGTTTGTTTACTGAAGTGTAAAGTTTTTAGTTGAACTGTTCAGTTGTTAGTGTAAAAGTTCAGTTCACCTTGTGTTCAGCTGTGGACTCGTGACTAGAAGAAATGTCACAGTTGAAGACTTTTGGTTTGGTATAGAAACATTTGTTTGCTTCTGTCTTGAAAACACTTTCTGTTTGTGTTGCTGTGGCAAGTTTACTGAATGACTTGCAGTTTATTGGATATTTCTGGAACCCGAACCTCAAGAAATACTGCCATTGGTATCAGGGGGCGCTCAAGTTAAGACATTTTGTAAAGAAAAATAAAATACAGAAAACCATGTTACGTTACAAACACACTTCCTTGGTTGTTCCTAGAAGCTCAGGTTAAGTTGTCACGTCATCCAAATGAAGTAATACAGTACTCTCTCTTCTGACTCGGCAAAGAGCTTTCTTTCCCTCCGCGACAGAGTACTTAACGAAAGTATCATACAGACTAAACAATACGGTCCTTATCAGAAAAGTGTTTATATTTCTTTGTATGTTCTACAGTATATTTACACTTTCATCAACAGCAGGTCTTTACTCACGTACCAGAGTCGCCCCCAGTGGTGTGATTGCTGAAAAAACCAGTGACAACGTTGTACAACACGCAGCTTTTGTGCCTTTCCCCCCTGCTGTTTAATTGACAAGTGTAATAAATCAATACAAGACCTTGGCAATGAACCGTATCAGGAAAAATGGATCATGCCAAAATGCTAATACCCCACCAGTCTCTGTATAAACACAGCGAAGGAAGGCAGAGTACGAGCGTAAACCAGAGAGTTAGAATGGGGGATGCTGGGTGATGAGGGATGGTCAGGAATTCACTGGCTGCTCAGACAGAGCAGGGAGAATTCAGAGGTTTGTGGTGGGATGATTAATAGGTTTTATTGAGAAAAGGCTGGTTTATTAAATAACAGCCGTGTTGGCTTCTCTCTGTAGACGCAAAGCCTTTGATGAAATAACATTTGTTGTAGTTTTTCAGGAGGTTCAATGTATTGTGAACTGTTATTGATTTGTTTGGAGGAGTTCATGCTTCATGTTGAATTTTGGAATTTCACTGGCACAAATGGAAGGTGACACCTAAAAGAAGGAGGGAATAAAGGTGTGAAGTGTAAGGAAATTAATGAAGGAACATTTTAGTTAAAACACGACTCTGTGGAGTCAGTGGAGGTTATAAACTAACCTGCTGGGTCTCTGGAACTTACTCAGGATGTACTCATAATATATAAAATCCCTCGAAATAGGTAACAAAGTATGAAATATGTACTTTTTTAACTCCAGATTTTAAGTTGCTTTGAAAAACTTCAGCACTACGTTGATGACAATGGCTGAACCAATAACAATCGACCTTGAATCTGGTAGATATTCCCTTTCAGAACCACATATGATGAAATTGATGAAAAAAGAAATAGACAACAGAATAAACAAAAAAACAGTAATTTATTTTGTTTTCAGTCTTAATCTCTCAGGCAAATATTTGAAAATATGTGCAAAAATAATTTGTATTTTTTACTGTTCTTTTTTTTAACAGGTCAGAATTGAATTAAATATTTATTTTTCAGTCTAACAATCAAATATTGTTTTAGCCAAAGGTCATCTTGATCATTGGTACTGGTCCAACATACTTACGTTTAAATTATTATTCATTGTCATAACTATATTAAAGTCATATTCGCGGCATGTTTAATATGAATTTAATTCCCCTGTCCTCCAAACAGACGCTCCAAGCTGTAATGTCTCAGGCCATGTCTGACACCTAGTGGACAGTCGGTTACCTGTAAGACAAGTTGACAGCGATTCCAGAATAAATGATTACATAAAGAAGAACGAGCAGGGAGTCCCATTAAAACATTATTTTATTGCTTATTTCCATTCTACTGTTCAGTTTAAGGCAGAAGGAGAATACAAAATGTGTCCTTTGCAAACTGCCTTTACGTCCTCAGGTTGTTTTACTTTATTTTATTTATTTTTTTCTGTTAGTGTGTCCACAAATACAATATAAACAAGTAGGTGTTTCATCAACATCAATGTGTGAGTGTCACAGGGTCGAAGGATTATGATGAGATGTTGCTGAAATCATAAGTCATTAAGTGAAACAGAAACAGCTGTGCAACATTAAACTGGGCGAGGTACTGATACACTTTACAACCAAGGTGGCGCTGTGGGAGACGGTTTCATGACAGGTCAGAAAGCAGCAGGACACAAGTTAGTTAAACTGCAGCAGTGAGAGAGTGTTCTGTTGGTTCTGGTATAAAGTATATTGAATACTTCTCATAGTGAAAGTCTGCACTCTCATATGTGATTGTCCAAGAAATTCCGTATGAAAACTCTACTGACGATAGACACAGGACAATTCTTCGTCAACACTGCTTATTAACAGTATGAAAAGTCCGGCCGCCCCTTTCTACACAGGCTCTACAGACTAATGAGCTGTAGAGCAGAGAGGAGGAAAAAAGAGGGTGACAAAAGAAGGGGGTCACGTGGCCCCAGACTCTTGATTCACGAAGAGAAGAAGGGGCCATGTTTGAGGTGCTGAAGGCAGCAACATGAGTCGGGCAGTGACGGCAGACAGCCTGAGTTTGAACAGCACCACCGCTGCTGCTTTGAGTCCACATGATGAGGACATGGACGCAGCTGTGTACGGTATGTCCACTCCTCCATGACATAAGCAGGAAATATCCAAAGTTCTGTGGAAGTGGTTTCTACCTAACGTCCTGGTTTAGGTCAACATTGTCTTGAGTTTTCTCTTCTCATTTAATCCCAGGGGTTAAAGTGTTTGATATTGTTTTGATGGCCTTGGCCCTGTGTGTTGTCACCACAGCCGGCCTCTACTGCATCACCGTCTGCTGCAACCGCTCCAGGTAAAGATCAGACTCTAGATCTTCTGAGCCTGATGAAAATTCAGTCTTCAAGTTGTATCTCCTGAGTTAAAGGCCACTCAGGTGTATACATTATTTTTAAATTCATGTTTAAGTGCATGGGCACAGATTGGGAAAGCGGGGCGCATGGTTGCCTTACAGAACATTGGTCCATGGTTCGAACTCTGTTAGTTCTGCAGCTAGTTCCAACCATGGTCAGGTCTGTGCCGTGTGTCTAGGTTTTCTCAAGGTATTTCTGTGTCCTGTAAAAACTCAAAAACAGGAAATAAAGGGAATTATTTAAACATGCCATAGAACAGAGATTATCAACTGGTTTTGACTGAAAAACTGTGGATCAAAGGGAGAACATTGTGTGTTCCACCCTGTTCATGTGTTCCCACTCCCCGTTGTCCCTTCTACCTCAGGCAGTCTAAACGAGCCCATGTGTACGAGAGTGCAGTGACCCAGGAGGAGGTGGTGGTCCCTGTGGCAATAAAAGCCGTGAGGAGGTCAACCAGCTTCATTAACCCTCTCACCTTACTCAAGAAACCAGGGGCGGCCAAGGACAACTCCAGGATCTGTTATATATACAGTAACCCACTGCCTGTGGGGCTGAAGGAGGAAGAGGAAAACAAAGACCCTCTGAGACCTGAACAGGAAATGACACCATCATCGCCTCCATCCATCCAAGAATTTGCCCGTGATCCAAACAGTGGCATCACGTTGGACCCTCCCATATTTTACCTGCAGCTGTAGAGGAAGGTCTAACTGAAGAACAGTGAACGCCCCATCTTCAGTAGCATGTTAGAGTCCTGGAACACTTCAGTACTAACACTTTATATTACCATGATATTAAAACTTTTAAACTAGGAAATACCCTATTTTTCTGTCTATAAGTCACACTTTCTTTTTCATCCTTTGGCTGGGTTTGCGACTTATACTCAGGTGCGACTTATATGTTAAAATATATAATTTCACATTTTTTATTTTCACCCTAACAGCCGCTAGAGGGCACTCTAGGCTTGTGAACCAGTATTTGATACTGCTGTACCACTGAAAATATACGTTTGTTATTTTCACACTGATAGCCGCTAGAGGGCGCTCTAGATGGCTGGTGCAACTTATACTCCGGAGCGACTTAGTTTGGAAAAATGGTATACATAATATTTTGAAAGTACTACAACTGAGGGTACAAATAATACCTCTTTAAATGAGTAGGTTAAATTACATACTTTCCTAAAGTACTAACGAGATATATAATTTATACTTCCTTAAAGAAGGAAGTATAAATTCTATTTTAAAAGCACTACAGTAACTGGAGGTAAAAAGAAATACTTCTGAAAGTATTAACCAGAAATATTATTTAACCCTACCATGTACAAATACTCCCCCTGTAGGTAGAGCAGTAAAAACGATCACATGACCTGTTTTTCTCTTGATGATCTTTAATAAAACTGCTGGTACAATGTGCTTTACAAAAAGAAGCCGTGTGTGACACAGAGAAATGATCAAAATGATCAGAGAAGATTATCGTTGCAGAGATATTCAGCATATTCCCTGTCATCATGATCGGCTCTGTTCTCTGGTCTCAGCCTCAGACGATGGCCTGTGTTTCCCTGATCAGCCACTCCAGCGCCTCCTTCTTGCCTTGCCACTCCAGCTCTGCTCCCACCACCTCCAGACACTTCCTGTGGTAGTCGTTCACCCAGTCACGCTGCGGGACAGGGGACACCAGAGTTGTGTTCACGACACACACAAAAAAATGTCTTTGTCATATTTTTGAAGTTTAGGTGGATGATTCAAAAGGTTTGTTGTCGTGACAGAGCCTCTCACCTCTTTTTGAGTGAGCAGGTCTGTGTCGATCATCTTGACTTGGATGGGGACCAGAGTGAGTGGCTCAAAAGTCAGACTCCCTCTGTTTCTGTAGTTGTACTGTGTATGAGGACATCATATATATTGATGAGGACAATCACAGAGGTTTTAAAACATATTTAGGAATGACAATTTACCTATATTAATTGTGATAAAATACAACTGTGATTAATCAATTAATCATGATTACTTAAGAGTAAAACTTTTCATTTTTTTTACTTTCCCCCTCAGTACCATATTCATATTAACAGTCTGAAGTAAAGACCTACTTTGGGCTTTGTTGGAACAACAACGACGACATTTTCCAGGCGAATACCAAAAGATCCATCTTCATAGTACCCAGGTTCTGCAAAAGAGACAATTAGAAAATTAGATTCAAAATAAAGAATGAAATGACTTTTAAGAACCTGAAATATAAGGAAATAGATTTAACATCCCACAAGAATATACACAATATTGCGCACTTCTTAAAAATCCTCTAACAGTGAATGAGGAAAGACTGAGGAAAGACATTGAATGACTTTCTGTTTCATCAAACTTCCATACCATCACTGACGATCATGCCGGCCTCCAGGGGCTCATCAGCGAATGTCTTATAGCTGATGCCACACGGCCCCTCGTGGACATTGAGGAAGCAGCCCACACCGTGGCCCGTCCCATGGAGGTAGTCTAGACCGGACTCCCACAGAGCTGCCCGAGCAAATGAATCCAGAAGATGCCCTAAGAGGAACAAAGATTTATGCCTCGGCTGATTATGTCATACAGATTTAATGATTGAGTATTTACTTGTAAAGGAAGTTTCTAGGAAAGATCTACTGAAAAATGTCCATGTACATAACAGTACATTAAAAATCACCTTTGGTTCCATTGGGAAAAACAGCAGCACTGACGGCTATGTGTCCTTTTAGGACATAGGTGAAACATTCCTAGAGAAAGAGAGACAGGGATCCACGTTAGTGTTCAATCCTGACGAGATCAGGTTCATTAATTTGACGGTACAAACACTGACCTTCTCATAAGGTGATGGTGTTCCAAAGTGCATGGTTCGTGTGACATCTGTGGTTCCATCACTGTTTACCCCAGAAGACAGAGACACAAGTTCAACTCAACAGAGAATAATCTGTTACAGTAATAGCAAAAAACAGCAGTCAAGCAAATGCGACTTTAATTAGAATGGATTTCTTACACATATTGAGCTCCGGAGTCAATCAGGTAAACCTCATTCATGGTGAGAGTTCTATTGGTCTCAGGGAGCGGTCTGAATGAAGAGGAAGGGTTGTCCAATGCTGGTTAAATATTTATTCACATCACAGGAGAATAAAAACTTTTACTTTGACAGTCTGACCTGTAATGTATGATTGCTCCATTGGGACCAACACTGGAGATCGTGGGGAAACTGAGGCCGACAAAGTCCTTCTGTTGACTGGGGGGGAGGAAAAACACTGTTTTAATCACCTTTCAGGCCAGCAGAGGGTGCCAACACATAAGCACTAACATCTTTTCAGCACAGACAGAGGCATTTTAGAGGCTTTAATGAAGACTGGAAGGAAGGATGACATGGAAATTACCTGCGCAATTCTTCAGCCTTATCAGCAACAGAGATTTCAGTCACCGTGCCCTTTGAAATCTGCCAAACAAAAACGTCAGTCACTAAAAAAATAAAATCATTATGAATGATGATAAAGTCCAGGCCATTTTCTCCAGTGACCTCTACTTGAAGATTGGTCAGACTGAAATCTTTTAAAGCGCTTTAACATATGTCCAGAATGAGACACACTCTATACACATATTGATATTTGCACATACAGTGCGAAAGAGTTTTTGTTCCATGAAGCAACACACGCTTAAAATATCTTCTCAACTCAACCCCCAGCCTGCGTCTGTGGAGGCGTCAACCTCAGCTCCGATGCCCGACTTGAGTCAGAGCAGCCTCACTGACCACAGGGCAGTAAATAAAGCTACAACAAGGTTCCCACTCTTTACTTGAAAGCATTTTCCATGACTTTTCCAGATCATTTTTGAGCTTCTACAGCATGGCAGACAGGTTTTTGATTTTTTTTTTTAATCAATTAATACGGAATAATTAACCATTATAATATGGAATCAGTCACACCTTAGAGTCAAGCACTTTTCAAAAGTTTCAAGCACATCTAGAAACCCTGCCCCTACTGGCTTTTTCATTAATGAATCCAACTTCGAGGGTCAATGAAAACAAAACAACAATACCTCTTTCTCTATCCAAGCAAAGAGTTCACAAAGGGCAACTGCATCTTTGATCTGTTCAAGAACAAAAGGTAAAAACACTTAATATTAAGAAGGTTGCATCAAACCAACAAAATTAATTTAAAAACAACTACAAAGATGAAAAGGATCCTACATGGGCCATTCTCATGCCTTGAATCTCAGTGGCGTTTTTCACAGCCTTGGAAAGGCAGAGTGGAGTGTATGGAATTGGAGTCCTGTGGGCCTGAAAGAGCCAACGATTTATGGTTTCATGGTTCACAGAAAGCCTCATTTTTAAGAAAGTAATGAAGAGAAGTTATTTCTTATTACTGACATGGTGGTCACTGTCATTACTTGACACTGTTTTTCTCACCTTTGGGATGGCCTGTGTGAGAGCACAACTGGCCTTGTCACTGATCCAGACTTTGTCTTTTGGCCCAAGTGCGGCGCAGACGGCCTGGAGCTCAGAGTAGACCGACTCGTAGGGAAGTGTCTGGATGGTCAGCTCAGGTTTGCTGGAAGAGTCCAGCTGCAGATGGTCTCTTAACGCAGGGTCGGAAAGACGACTACTGTCCACAAAGAGCCTACACAGAAGGAACATGTTTGGATGATATAACTGTACACTGACATGTTTTATAGATAATTTTCATCCACAAATAAAAGTAAAAACTATACAAACTAATTTGAAGAAATACACAAAAAGTACATCTAAAAAATTAAAAAACAACTTCAAGAAAAAGTATTTTGTCTGCCAACCATTGAACTACATTCAATGTCTTCTAAGACAACAAAAAACACAGAACCTCTACTCTAAAGTATTTAAATAAAAATACACCTGCTAACTTATGATTAATGATATGTTCAGGTAATCGTATTCTGCATTTCTATATTTAAAGTATTATTTATAATATTGTATTAGAAAGAAGACTATGCAGACAGGACACACTTGACTGCACATTAATGGCTCTAACTCTGGGAATGTTGACAGAAACCAGTCTTATTTATTTCTAAAGCCATTCATTCCAGCTGGCAGTATTGAGGTAATTAAAGTAGAATGTGGCCTGATATATTCCATTACCTTATTGTGTTCATTCCCACAATGGCATATGCAAAGAAAACTGGGTTGTACTCAATGTCGGCACCACGCAGGTTGAAAAGCCCTGAGAAAACAACAAAAAAATAAAAAATAAAATTGACTTCAATGTTCAGATGAATGCAAACATTTGTTAGATTTTCTGATGTTTTGAGCAACAATTTGAATTCATTTTAATTTAATCACTAAATGTGATCCCAGACCTGTGTGAGGTGTTAAATGTCAACATTATCAGACGGACACTCCTCCTCTGTAGATGCCTCTCAGTTAAATAGCCATTCAAAGTCCAAATACTACTTGAGTACAATCAAAATCAACATTACTCTAATTAACACAAGCTCTTAGACCAAACAATCAGACACAAGGGCTCATTAGTGAACAAGGTGCTCAAACAGACAACTAAAGGGACACCCGTGCATCCCAGGGTCCTTGGATCGTGATCATGTACCCACACAGACTTACGTAACCAATAAGTATTTTTGTCAACCTAGCATATTGGTCAAACCTTGATGGTAGTGTCTTGACTTCATCGTAATCTATGAACAAAACTTAAGGCATGGATCACGATACATACAACACAGGATGAATTTATCAAAATAACATTAATAAAAATGAAGCACTTACACGCGATTTCATCCAAGGCAGTGGCCACAAACCAGCTGATCTTCCTGTGTGTCATCTTGGCTCGCAAATGAACGATCTTGTCCTGCCACGACATACCTGCAGGTGGACACAAACAACAGGTTGTGTGGCTCAATTCACCTTTAGAAAAATGTCTGGAAATGGTTCAGATCCCTGACAATAAACCTAAATGAAATTAAGAGTTTCTATCTGTAAAAGTCTTGTTCAGTCAGTAAGTAGCTTACTGACCGGTGTACTCCAGTCCCAGGGTGCGCAGCTGTGTGCTGGGTCGTTTCGGTCGGTCGGCCCAAACTGCATCGATCAGGTTGTCCTGCACCGCCACCAGAGAGTGGCCTGCGTTCATCAGTGCCTTGGACATGTTCTTCCACTGGTCTTAAACACAATCATTAAATCATTTTATTAAAAAGTACATACAGACACTTTCTAGAGCCGCAGGATTTGACTTCTTCAGGTCAATTTTATTATGTTTTTGATGGTTTTCCCTTGTAATCGTACAATTAAAGACTTCAAAATTTAGATGCATGTAATTATCATTATTATTATTATCGTTCATGGTAAACCATGAGTTGACACAGATTAGCAGGAAGTCTGTCCTGTTATCAGGCCAATGGATTAACTTCAGAAAAAAATTGAATACAATGATGCAAGTTTCTGCTGTGATGTGTTTTCATGCACTTCCTCGTTGTTCATTGTTCATTGCTTTATTATTCTGAAATGGCGGGGAAGAAAATGTCACTGTGACCTACCAGCAGCAAAAATCCAAGGATCTACTCCCACTTTGGAGTTTTCTGGCAGAACACTAATCAGCCAGTCCTCCTGAGACGGTGTCTCTTTCAGTCCTGTGAATGTGATTAAAAACACGCTAATGTATCAAACGAGGTACGGGAATGTTTGATTGTGTGACAGAGATGGAGACAGAAACTAATGAAAGACAGAGAGGTTTTTTATCTTAAAAAACAGAGGCATTACCCATCTTCATGAGGGTCCAGTTGTTGTCCATTTGTTGGGTGGCTTGGAGAAAATAGCGCCCATCTGTCCACAAAGCAGCATACTGCTCTGTGACAATGGCCGTGCCTGTGTGTCACAACAAAAGACAGAACATTTAAAGCACTGAATCTATGAGCAAAATTTACCGGAGATAAAACTTTTTTTTAAACTACACCTGTTGTCCAACTGTAACAACAGGAAGTAGTCATCAAATTCCCACCTCGTGTTATTAATCATTATAAATGATTCATTCCTTAATTTCCCGAACGGAACTTCCAAGGGATTAATAAAGTTCATCTATCATCATCTTATCTATCAGAACAACCTCAATTTGGAAAACAGTTTCCCACTTGCAAAACTTACCAGCAGAGCCGTTGAAACCGCAGATAAATTCACGCCTGCAGTCACATGGTGCAATGTATTCACTCTACACCACACAAAGACAGAGACACAGAGAGAGAGGGAGAAAGAGAGATAAAGAGAGGGAGAGATCAGCTTCATTAACAATCAGTTTGAAGTGGGAATCAACAAGTCAGTCATTTCCAATGCCATCTAGCTGCTCTTCTCACATCAAATTTCGTGTATGAAGAGGGAGCAGTGGGTTGCAATTAATTTCAAAGGTCAGAGGAAAAGATCAGAAAAACAAGACTGTCACAAAGTGAGATAGACAGGATGCACAAATGACATATTTAGCCTTTAATTGTGTTTGTGTGTGTGTGATCTTATTCACCTGATGGGCATCACCAGAAGGAACAATATAGGCCTGTATTGGCTCAGTGAAGTATTTGCAGTTTCTCATCACTTGACGAAGCTGCCTCAGCAGCTCTCCAGTGATCTTTGGAGACATGGCTGCGTCTGCATGGACAAAGATAGGACAAAGATTGAAATGACACGGTGAGTAGGCTGCTGTAACATAATCTACTGTCATTTTTGTCAGAATTCAATGAGAACACACAAAATGCACGTGGTCTGATAAAGCCCCAGGAAATTATTGACATCTTAAAACATTAATAAATGCCAAAAACATTTATCCACAGATTACCTGTGTTAAGGGAAGCCATGTTAACGTCAGGTTGCTGAGGCAGGATTGAGGCTACACTATCATTCTGCGGTTCAAAGTCACTGTCCACTCATGTTTTATGACATAAACTGCTTGTTGTGTAACTGTTACTGCTACAGTTAAATATTAAACAAACAGTGTAAATGACTAGAGTAGGGAGAAATGTGTGACCTATACTCAGGGTAGTAACTTCATAAAAACAAAGCTAAAAGAACACTTTCCAACTCGTGGCAAACCAAACGGCCACAAACGGGCCAATCACGTTAAAGTATTCCTCATCGATGAGCTTCCCCATTGGCCCATTGAGGCACATGTTGTTTACAAGTTGGCTTAAGACGAACCAGCGTTCGATATGTAACTACCTACCTATAACGCTACAAAATAAACCATATGCTATGTCGTAATAGATAAATAACACACACGTTGTTTGTGATATGAACGGACGAGCATATTAGCACATGACGCATCTCTATTTTCAACAGGCCAAACATTACACACGTCGATTCATTCAATTCGCTGACGTTGAATTCGCTGGTGGGTGTGGTGGGATAAAAGCAAAGTTGGTATCGAATATCTCCGTGTAAACAGCTCACTGTAAACATACAACACGAGCTGTAACTCACGAACAAGGTGTGTGAGTCACAGGGGTGGGATCATCAACCGTTTACCTCCGACTGAGAACAGTCATCATCCCTTTTGCGTCGCCCGGAGACCTCAGCACCACGAGCTGCAAAAAACCTCACAGATTCCCCACATGCAAACCCCAAGCTGCCCGTATACACACCCGATACTCTGGCTTTGGAGAAGTGAGTCTTAGTATTGAGGAAGTGAATAAAACAAAGCTCTTCTTTACCAACGTGGACCCTGTGTTAATTTACAAAACAGGAGGCTGCCATTTCATTGTTGACGTTTGCGGTCACGTGACTACCGTCTCTTCCAGTTAAGGCGAAGGACTGGAGACTCGCCTCTTTTTCTGTAAATAACACAACAACAAAAACGTGTGCACGACGGTATATAGACGAACAATCCGACAGCGCTTTATTATTCATTATTATTTACAAACTCAGTCTTAAATAGTACCTAATAAAGTCAGTCGATATACCGTATAAAGAAAAGTTAAAGCTAACACTAAGCTATTCATCACATTTGTTGGATATAGACAAAAGCGATACGTAATCAATGAAAATGATCTGTAATATACAGATTCAAGTATATAACGTTAAAATACGGTGCAAAAAACAAAATAACATAACCATTTCATACAGAACCACTTATGTACGTTATACTTGTCATGCATCATCATCGTGTATTACCAGGGTAGGAATAGAATACAGACCAAATTGTTATAAAGAATTATATTTTACTGATAATATACTATACAAAAGCATAATAATGCCCAATTCATAACAATATTAAAATAATATATTCATATGGAATCATATCATACAGTTAAGACGCTTTTACACGATTAAACAAAAGGACACAAACAGCAACACTATTCATAGAAGACCATATTATGGATGTGCCAACATTGCTATATTACAGAACCTTATTATATTGACAAAGTATTTACAGATAAAACAATCATACAATTGTTATATTTTGTGAAAAACAAATAATTACACCCAACAAATACTATAATATAATCAAAAAGAATGAATATAAACAAAGGGAATGACCATACAGAACTATACAATGCTGCGAAATAACACCATAACCATATTGGAGAATTGACATACGGAATCATGTAACACCTACCTCCTGAATACAGCAAAAACAGTTACACACATGTAATTTAACTCACATATTGCAAACAAATGATTTATGTCCCTGGAACACAATTAACAATATTATAACTGTGACAACATTGACATTCAGTGGAAAATTAAAAATAAGGAAAGGGAAAATACTAATCCCTCATTACATATAACTATATTATTCCTAGATTTAATTAGTCACGACTGCACTGGCTAATTTATCTAAATGAGATTACTGTTAGTCTGTATGAAGGTCTGCTACACTCCCTGCACTGACGGCTACAGGTCACATGTAGTTAAAACATGAGACAACACATAGGGTTCAGTGAAAACAGTGGAGTCAGTGGCACTAACTAGTCTTCACACTAGTTGTAAAGTACAAAGACGTACCACTCACACATTAACAGCTGTGACCAAATGATATGATATAAATATCCACATAAGTCAATACGCAATTTGAATGTTAGTGAAAAATGTGTTCAGAGAAGAGTTGTATTTTCAGAGGACCTCACAACAGATCCAACAGATGTTACGGTAAAGAAAATATATTATAATATATATATTTCAATGAAAACAAGAAAAACAAACTAACTGAAATGAAAACAATGATTTATTTTTTGTTTGAAATTAAAAGCAAGCATTAGAAACACAATCATTACATATAAACTTTGCAGTTTATTTTGTATCTTAAATTTACACAGTAACATTTAATTTGTAGATTTCCTGGTATGGAACTATGGAGAGAGAAGCATGTCCCACTGATACACGTACTTTATGTTAAAACCTTCTGTAGTAGAAACTTTTCACCACTTGTTTGATTGCAACTCACAAACATTTATTCAGATTTCTACATCATTGATGACTCACACATTCACTCTGATGCTGGGCTGAGTCCTCAAGCCCTGAGCTATGAATAAACTGAAGACGGCAGCAGGCAGGCGACAGCAAACATCAGGCCGAATAGAAAAACTTCTGGCAGCGCACGGAGAACTGCACTTGCTGAGGAGATCCAATCAGAAATGTGTCAATTTAATTAGTGTTAATTTAACTGTAAATAAAGAGAGTTTTTTCTCACTCAAATCCCACTAATGTACTTGGTATCGTGATGTAGTGTTGTCTCTATTACTGTAGTCCTTGAAGTCTCCCTTGGTTTTAAATAATATTCACATTAAACTGAACTAAGTAACAAACTTACTTGCACACTTGTCAGACTCTCTGTAAATACCCATCTTCTCGCTGGTTTTCACCGACTCCAGGAGTTCGGGGCTGACAGTTCCTTTAAGACACAGACAATGGACAATAACACATGGACACAGATCTCCTGAGAAAGAAACGACTTCTCACGTTCTGTAATAAAAGCAGATTTCATTCTACAACATGAGACAGCACAGATCTCCTGTGGTATTCTTTGTGAATCCTCTGTACAGACATTTCACTGTTTCCTCCCATGGGATGTAGGAACTGAAAAATGAGACACAGAGACACTTCACTCCAGCGTATTCAGGTTACCCAGTAAGGTTTTTGAAGATTTTCAAAGCCAATAATGGTTCATTGTGGCAAAATGCTGTTGGTCCAGTTCCCTTTGTAGGCCAGGATTATTTATATACAGTATGAATTATTTTTCAAACCTTGACCAGTATCAGATACATTTCAGTGTTGTGCTATTTAATCTGCAGTTATTTGGTGCTGCCATGGATTAGTATCAAATGTCAAGTTGTTGCATTACTTGAGAAGAGAGTAGTTTTTTGTTGGTATTCAAACTTCACATCTCTTAAAATAATATTTTATTACAGAGGGTCCTCGATGTAAGTTGGAATTCCGTTCCTATGGTGCTACATAACTCGACTTCCCTCAAAACTCTGTACTGTTCATCAGTACCCACGTCACTAACATAGTTCTTACATCATAATCTAGGACGTAAACATCAGTGGAGTCAGGTTGGTAGCTGGATGAAAATTAAAACTTTCTTTCTACTTTGTTTCATGCTGAAGGAGCCAGGCGTTACTGAGGAGTGACTGATAAATAAACCAATAACATTCAAAATGGCTGGCGATTTGCCATGTTCTTTGCTGCTGCCTTACCACATATCATGAAGTTGACCTCTTGACACCTTCCATCTGCTACAGAGGACGGAGAGTCGGGCAAGATGGTGACTCTCGCAACGTCCATCTGCAGGACACTTGCAACTCTTCTACGGAAATCGTATCTGAATGAAAGTAGAATGAAGCTTAAATTTAATCCATACATTAATATACTTTATAATTGCTAATTAAATATATATTTTCTAACCAAATTTTCATTTTTTTAAATGTCTAAATATGAGTAATTGGAAAAGTAAATGCTATTATAATATACATGTATATTTTCAAAAAAATATAAATATTATAAAAGATAAATAAATAAATATACATGTATATTTTCAAAAAAATATGAATTTTAATAATAATGATCTCTATAATTTCTAAAAAATAATGTAATTTCTAAAAAAAGATAAGTAAATACATTTCCATTATGTATTTGGCCATTTAAATACTATCACTATTTATACTATAAGATTTTTTTCTTAATATAGAATGTCACATCACAATCCAATATGTGTTTCACCATAGACACCAAACCAAAAAACATTAACATTACATGTTTAAAATTTACAAGATGGCTATTTGCTTAACAGATAAATAAAAGGAAGGAATTCCATATACCTGCTGAAATCTGTCCGAGTAGGAAATTTCTGCTCTGCCGTTGGGGATTCTGGCAGAATGTTGGCACACGCTGTGACGCTATCTCCATTTTTCAGCACCAAACATTTGTGGACCACTAACAAAAGTTAATAAAACACATCGTAAAGGTTTTCACCTGTGGCTGAATTCATACGTTTAGCTTAGTTTGATTAGTGTTACCAGTGTTGTCTCCAGACAGCTGGATGATACTGTCAGTGAACAGCTGACCGTGGGTTAGACTGACTGGACCGTGCCTGGTGGATATTTCCCCTAGCACACAGCTCAGAGGGTGAACTAATGAACACCTGGAGTCCTGTGAAGAGAACACAGTAAAAAATCAACACTCAACTAATGAGTAGTAAGAAATGTAAATAAATCAAAATCTTTCTTGTGGAGCAAGGAAAATAGCTATACATGTAAACATTGTATCATTTATTCTTTGAAATAGTAGCTGAACCTTTTTTATTTTACTTTGCTCCCAGCAGAAACCTCTCCAAAAATTCAAATAAAATAAACCTTTTGTCATGCAGTTCTGACATTACTGGGAAGTAAAATCATAATTACAATTGAATTTACTGTGAAAAAGAGATGTTGTGCAGGTTAAAGACAACATTGAAGGTAACTGCACCGTGGATTTCCAAGCAGGTGTTTACAGACTTTGGTTTGCCACGTAATATTTAAATACAAAATAAGCAGAGAAAATGTGAACTCACTCCTGATGTCATGTTGAAGGGATTATGAACATCTCTCAAGTTGCTGCATTGGCCATTGAAGATAAACAGTGACAGTGAAGGAGTCTGCAGGAGGTGGTGTGAGATGAGAGTTTACGTGATGTTTTTCGTATATTAGTCACAGTAGTCGGAGCAATTCATTTAACAAAACCTCCTATGGAGTCATGTTGTCAAAGTCAGTGAAATGAAACAACAGGAGACAAGAAAAACAGTTCATAAAGAACTATATTGATTGACAAAGATTGTATAGATAGATAGAATTATTAACACCTCATTCTCAACTGTACTCACATTCCGTTCAGATGATTTCAGCGTCACCAGAAGTGTGACATCATTACTACTCCCGTCGGGAAACACCTGCTGACGCTACAACACACATACACACGTAGACATAAACAGACAAATGCAATCGGAGAAATAGGGAACTTAAGACGCAGTAGCATATCAGACAAAAGGAAAAAAAACTCCAAATGTACTCATTCTGACTATAACTTTCTAAATAAAGTCACTGTCCAAACTTGCGTCTAAATCATAGGTAATGTGACTGTAGTCAAAATTTAGATTTTCATGTTCATCTTCAGTGAACATTTTATTTTGTGAATATTGTGAGATTTTGTCCGTAGCGGCTGCGGCCAGCCCAGTATGGGGCCACTGGAGGGCAGCTGACAAGGACATCTGTTCCTTTGCTAGTCCACGGGCTTTTAGACCTCACTAGCCCTACTGTATGCATGCTAAGCTAAACTGATGATGTCCCCTCTGATAACCACGACACTCCATTTCAAGCTGCTGCAGGCAGAATGAATGCACTTGTCCAGCATGTAAAAAGTGCAATGTCATGTTTTTGTGACAGTTTGGCAAAAGAAAAGTTTTTAGTTATAAAGACTGTTATAAAGAGGTTAATGAGCTGAAGCTGATTAGTGCAGTCAGTAATTTCCATGTTAACTGTTAGGGAAGATGTGATAACACAATAGGTGATACTTGGCCCCAAAAGAAAAACATACAGTATTTTTTTAAGAAATACTAAATCGCTGTGTTTATTAATTGAAAATATTTTATATCAGAATAATCCATTGCCTACCAGTTGTACTGCCCCAGTAACTGTGCTGTTGAATAATGCCTTGGCAACAATCCATTGTCCTTCAGTATGTCTTTCAGCTAAAATGTCAGCACACCTCATTCTGGACATGAAGACATTGACACGCGTGAAAAAGAGAAACAAACAAGATTAACAACATATTTCACGTTTCACATGAAATTTACACTGCAAAATAAATTTGATTTTTTTTTGCCATGCTGACTCACTGTTAATAAATAGGAAGATCATTTTACTGTGACATCCTACACCTGTAATTCACCTCAGCAGACGGGCCGTTCCTTTGTTAACATTTCAGAAAAAAACATTCTTGTTCTAAGAAAATGTCTGGTCCAATAGGTCAATGGCCCAGTAAAAATAATTATCACCTGTAGTAATAATTTCTTTATGACTAGACTTTAGTTTGGTAATTAATAATTACTTACTAAATATAGAGTAAAAATTGACCTAATACACAAAATTATTCTATCATATTTTTTTCTTCAGTTTGACTTATTTCTCCAGATATTTCTCCAAAAACACAAAAATTACCTCGAGCCATTGGCATAGTGAACCACCAGGGACCTTCCCGCAATGCTGTGGGGTCCAGTTAATTGAATATCAGGATCCAAGTGCAGAGCTTCAAGTAGGCTGAGACCATTCAGCATTCCAAACTTCCCACTGATGTCTCCGATTTCATACTGGTCCATTGTGCCAGTTCCTGGTGCGGGAGAATCCGATATGTTCCAGCCTAATGGGTTGAAATGACCCATGATGTTTGCATCAGAGCAGGGCTCCACGCTGCCAGGTTTGATGGGCAGCAGGTGAACGTGGTAACCCCCCGCCAGAGAGTCGAGGTTCATCAAAGACACGTTGATAGTCGTGGGTCCTTGCACGGCACCTTGAACGAGCCGCATTTGACCTCCGGACAGTCCAGGACCAAACCAGTTACCCAGTCTGGCTTTGTGCTCTCGCACCATGGTGACATTTGCACAAGCGATTCTTGGTCCTCCTCTGTTGGCTTGATGAATGACCACAGAACGACCAATAACGCCTGCATCCTGCAACCAGGAAGTGACATCGGTGAAGAAGCTTTTGGCGTGCACTGAACCAACTTGGGTGGTGAGGTCGATGGTTCTGTGCTTGCTGGACAGGTCTCCACTCTCACAGGAGAGAGGTCTGGCTGGGCCACAGTGTAGCAAATAGCTGCTGTCTTCTGTGTCGATGTGGAAGGGGTTCCAGTGGGCTTCTGTTGTGCTGCAGCGCCTCTCGTCATCATCTCTCTCTGAGCTTATAGGGTAGTGGTGAATATGCCAGTGGTGGTTAATGGTGGGGCTGGTTGTCGGACTTCCATAAGCCAGATCCATGAAGATGGATACATCGGACAAAGGGTTGTTTTCCAGTTGGGTGAACCAGATCTCACCAACCACATGACTCTGAAACCTGGCTCTGCCGACAACTACTTTGCCAGGATAACTGATGCTAGAGCAAACATACCTGGAACCGTCTGTTTGGTGTATAACAACTGAGCGACCGACAATACTGTTTTGTCCAAACAGAGGAAGGTTGAAATCCGTAAACATTACGTCAGTGTCATTCATATCTGTGAGGGACACGTGCCTCGTACTCAGATCTCCAACCTCGTACTTGTCATGTGTTGACCCAGGACCTTTAGGATATGTCGGGTCCGCAGTCTTGATTTTAAAGGGATTCCAATGTCCACCAACATTTTCATTGGAGCATAAACTTTCTTTGTTGCTTGTTCTGACTGAAGGGACCGGATAGAGGTGGACGTGATATGGACCGACTCTGCCCTGCAGGTTGGTGAGGTTAACTCTCATCTCTGTTGCATCAAAACATGAAGCTTGTTTAAAGGTAAAATACCCTTTAATCCCCTTCATATTAATAACAGCAGTCACCTGTTTACCAGGGACATTATAAACGCGAGCACACTTGTAACTTGAGCCCGCGTGGTAAAGAAGAAATCGAAGACTCCAGTTTTCCCAGTTGTCCAGACGGGATTTCTTAAGATCCAGAGGTGTTCCGACTTTGACCTTTCCCAAACTTGACAAAGTGCTAGCCTTCAAGCTTCCAAGCAGAACATCACAGTTTGCAGCGGTGCTTGTAGATCCCAGAAGAGTGATACTGGTGTTAGTGGCATTTACTTGACCGATTGTGACCAGGTCTGCTAGAAGCCTGACGTTACTTTGTTCAGAGTTTGTTCGAATGTAAACATTACCGGCAATTGGACCAGTGAATCTAGCCTGAAAAGTCAAGGATGATCTGCCTTGACCTACCACTGTACAAACCATGATCTCGTCACACGTCTTCAAGGACAAAGTAAAGTCGTCCAGGTTTGGTCTTCGTTCAAAGAGGTGTGACACATTGACGGTGGACGATGAGGCGGGATCTGCTGTGAAGGAAAAAACCTTGGGACCGATATTTGCTTCCGAACAAGGTTCAGGAAAATGGCCATACATGACGGGGAACTCACTGAGGAACAGTTCCACTAGACCACAGGATCCAGCACCAGAAACTGCAACAGCGGCAGTCTGGGATGTGGAGTCAAACTGCACCTGTCCGGTGACTCCTGCCATGTTTAGAGTTGCTTTAAACTGAGTGCCGTAGATCGAACCTGAAACAAAGACAATGGGAATAATGTGATAACGATGAGGGACCGGGAACATATTGACTGGATAAACAGACGAGGTAAAACAGAGGAAAAGAACCAGTTTGGCATAATATTCATTATGTGAAAAACCCCTCAGGTTAACGGAAACTTAAACATTGTCTTACCAAGTTATTACTTTTTTTTTTTGATAATTATTGTTAGATGTGAAAGCATTTTTTCCCTGGTGCCATTTTCCGTTACTTTTAGATTATTAATTCATCACAGAGAAATAAAATGACAGGTTTGTTGCTGAATAGAATAGAATAGAATAGAAATAGAATAGTCATTGTACAGCGGGGGTACAATGAATTTGAGGGAAAAATGTTTAAAAAAATGTAAAAAAAAAAAAGCTTCTGGAAATATGAATCTTATGCAGACATCAATAATTTATTTTCATTCCATAAGCAGAAGTTTATAAAGTTCCTTTTACATATGTAAGTCTTGACTTCCTTTTTACCTTTTGAGTCACTTTTTGAGAGTAAATTGCGGAATTGATCTTCACAATGTGGCTGTGGCTACACTTAGCCCATAACTCACAGATTTAACTGGAATAAAGTTTTTTTTTTTTTTTTCCGGTTTGGGGAGAGGTAGCGCCATGGTTAGATGCAAGCTAAAAAATGGAAATTAAAGACTGCAAACATGAGCCTAGATTAAAGTCAAGACGTGGTGAGGTAAAAATCTCACAGTACCTTATAATTCAACTTCTGAAAAGAAGAAGATAATTATGAAAAATACAGTAGAAAGATGAATGCCATGTCTGTTACCAACTATATATTGGGAGTATGCTCAACATACAAATGAATCATGTGGAACAATCTGAGGAACAAGAAATGATAGACCAGCTGTGAGGAGGACGTTTTCTACTTTCTGCCTGAATCTCAGAGCAGCAGATGTCAGCAACATAAAAATGCTCTGTTGCACGTTGTTTTTAGCATGTGGCCTTGATACAATGACAGAAAAAAGGTCAGGGCACAAAAAAGTTGGAATGCGTTAATTACTCACCAATTAAAGGAAACACGAGGGTGGCAGTCAGGAGGAGCATGTTGTAGGAAAGCTGTAATTAGAATAAAAGCTTCACTGTGTCCTCAAACGTCCCGTCTGATGGTTCTGACTTGGAAAAAACAGCTCACCTCCAAAATGCAGTGGGAAGTTAAGTTGCGACAAAAGTGGAAGTCACTGTGTGTGAGTACCCATGTGTATGTGGGCATGTGTTCTTCAGCAGCATGTCATGTCATGTATGACAGCTTTTCAGATTCGTGGAGCCTCCCTCGATCCAGCTGCAGCCTGTGATTGGTCAACGGGTTTATTATATCCCACGTCTGAGAGCAGGGGAGGCAGGGAGAACATTTGGCTGGAGGTGGCCTATCCCTGTATAAACAGAAGTTTTTTTTCTGTCAGTTTGGCCACGGGGCAAATATTTTAAATACTTTTAAGTCATCAAACAAAGAACAAAGATACAGGACATTAAAATGTACTTAGGTGTCAGTGGTAAACACTGTGTGTTTATTTAACCAACTTCTAATTGAAAGTGTTTAAACCTGTTGCCTCACTGTGGCTCCAGGTCACTCTAGGCTCTTAATTATCTCTATAATTATAATAAAATACATTCTATTTATATATCACACATAAGTATCACCTAATAAAGGTGATACTTATGTGTAAAATGTACAAAATTAATAACATTGGAAATGTCAACATTTATAACAGGATTATATTCCTGATATAATTTAAAAGGCCATTGGTTATTAGTCACGGGCAAAGTTTTCCTGTTGTGAACAAATGCACATTATATTATAATATCAATTTACTGGACTATAAACCGTGTTTATAGGCATGGGGGCGTCACTGCATAAGACGACAAACATCGCCAAAAAAACAGAGGAGGACTGTTTTATTTGGGACATTTTTGTGTGCTACAGCTAACGGTGTGTTCAAGTTGCACTCATATGTCAGAAAGTCCGAGCTCCAAGTCAGTCACTTGTAATCAGAACTACACCTCCTCCCCTTATTTTTATTTGTGTAAATATGTTGTTGTTTATACTACAGTTCATACACGAATGGTTGAATAAAACATATATGGCATGAGGGTGATTGGCAGCAGACCAATAACAGTTTGAAATTCTTGGGAAGAACAGATGTTCAGAATAGGGGGTCAATTATTTGTGTCTTTTTTTTAATGGATGATCTTTATGAACATGACTGTGGAACTGCTCTCATTTGACCCCACCATATTGCCCTTGCCTATTTTCTTCCTCAGAATATCACTCAGCTGTCCTTGTGATGGTTTTGGGTGAGCTGGGTGGTTAGAAATAGTAACCCATTTCAAAAATAGCATCCATCATTGTGAGCTGTTTGCGGAGGTTGGCCATCAGGCTGCTATTTACACATAGTGGAGGAGCAGTGAAGTGGGTCAGGTCCTTCATCTGGCTTGTTTAGCCCACTGATTGAAGCAGGAGCGGGAATCATGATTTGACTCTGCAGTGTTGAGTGAAAGACAAAGCAAGAAGAAACAGAGTGTGGCAAGTATATCTCTTCACATGACCCAGTCTGATCCTGGACACACCAAATTTAACCTGTCAATCACAGAGATTAAAAATGTAAATGCATTTTACTCTGGTAGAATAATGTACTGTAGAAAACCTGTACATTCGAAAACTTCACCATCCTATTATTTATTTGCACATTTCAAGAAAGATTTAACTGTGTGCTTGAAATACCATCTCAATATATAGAATACAGTATATCATGTTTATATATTGTTGGGACAATGAAAAAACATGGACACACTGTGGACATTTGGACCTTACTGGCAGATTTGAAAATGAATAAATCCTGGGATAATAATTTGTTGTCTTTAGTTAGAATAGTTTCACCAATAGAGGAAGTTAATTCTATTGTGCCACAGAGAGAGTGTTGTTTTTCTGTATCTGTCCACAGGCCATGGTGCTGTAACAGGTCAAATGATCGACCTCCTGTGAATCCTCTACTCCCTGCTGTGTGAGGTTGGGTGTCACTCAAAACAAACAACAGAATTTAATCATTGAGCATTCAGTGCATTTTGTGTTATTTTTTACTCTGACAAACCAATAATTAAAGCTTATGTAACTAATAATTTTAAAAATAATTTTAGACAGTTTTAAGGCAGTAACCTTGATGTACATATAAAGTACCCTGATGGCCACTAGATGGAGACATGGCATCATATGTGTTCGAGCCACGTGCTAAATATTTTTGCTTTGGACAAACGATGACGTACATCATTGACAAGTAAAGTATATCACATTTATCCATATGTTGTTTATATGTTTGAGAACTTACACCTTGATAGATAATGCACAACATGTAAGGTTTATTAGAATGAGCATATTCATTTAAACACAGTTATATGTAAAATATGTTCTTGTAAATATATTCCAAAGAAAAAGAAGAAGAAATGGTTCGGTTAAATTGGAGCCTATCAGAGTCGTGGCAGTAATAGGACATACATTAATAATATAAGAAACTGAACTGCTGGAAATCACGTGTGTCGTCGTTTTACGGCAATGAATTTGCAATAAAGTGAGCCACAGCTTACGTAATGTGGACTACAGTTCCTGCCAAATTGTGACCCACCCGTTTCTCTCCGTTGCGTAGATCTATAGAGCATGTGTCGTGGCTGTGACCAGAGGCAGACACTGAGTCAGCTGCATCCTATCGACTTAATGTCAGTGAGGAGCTCCACACGTCGCCTGTGAACGGAAGTGTTGAGTTTAAACGCTAATGTCCGAAGAGTGGATATGAAGGTTCACGGCCGTGTGACTATCTCTCACTGACCTAGGCTCGCGTCACAGCAGGTACTTTGCTGATGCATGCTGACGTTTTTCATAATTAACTGTCCTGTCAACGATTGAGCATAAATGAAACATGTCAGTCATATAATATATACATAATGTTTATGCAACACTTATCTATGAACATTCAGTATATAACCATACACATACATTTATGCATATACACATAATGATTTAGCTGACATACACTGTGTACGTAGGTAAAAAGTCCAGTCGACTACGTGTCCCCGTTGGTCTGAAATTATAATCACTATATATATGTATATATATACACATATATATATATATATATACATAGTATTGTATATAAATTATAGTTCTATTTGTATTTCAAGCAAACATAGCTTATTGCTTATTATGCAGTAAATTACAGTAATTTGTATATATTTATAATAATGCCAATGGTAAAGTATTTGTCAAAGGACTATTTAAAGTAATAGAACGTCTTTCAGTGTGTTTTTATAGGACCCTGAGTAGTCATATTTGTGGCCACCTTGGTGTCATGCCACAAACTCTAACAAGACTTAGCACAGCTACACGACACCATAAAGCTATGTTACGTACAGTATTTTGACTGTCTTCAAGATTTGCATCTGTAAAAGTACAACAGTAGACAAAAAAATACTTAGCTTACAATAAGGACACATATTGTGTCTCCCCGTTTGAAATTAGAAGATTTCTGGAGATGCTGTGAGCACTCAAGTCCAACTGTCTTCTGTCAAGAAAACTCCAGAATAAGCCAGAATAAATGACATTCTGGAATGAACAGATTCATGGTTCAAAACTATGGAAATCTGATTTTCAGTATATTGATAAGACAGATTTGTTTACTGCATTCTTCAGAGGTGTATCCTGTCTTAGCACACAGACAACCATGGTAGTACTATGTCAATTTACTATCTGTGTTTGTTTAGAACAGCCTTGAGTGTTTAAGCATGCAGTCAACCAACTTACTTTCCTCCACTATTGATATGTATTGGTAGTAGATTGCTGTTGACATTGACTCTGCTCACAGACTTCCATACAGTTACGCCTGAGCCGAGGCAAATCTGTGGGTCCTTCACATCTGCAGATGTCTCTTGTCTCATCCATTTTCCCCCTCCCCAGGGAACCGTGTTGTTGTAACCTGGGTCACAGTTGCGCTCAGTGAACTTCAGGATTCATGCTGAGACAGAGGAAGTATTTTGGTGGGCCAATGGATTTAAAGTCTCATTACAGTGACCAGTTGGGTGCGTGCCATGTGCACTGACTGTTGAATACGAAGCACTAATGAAGCTTTTCCGTCCTTATTCACTGCTAATGGTCTGTTGTGAGAAAGACACAGCTTTGCACAGTTTCCGAACAACTAAAGGCAATTTTTACAGCAACTCTTTCACCAGATGCACCACCAAGTGTGTGGTGGTGAGCATAGAGTCATCACAAATGCACATGGCTGAGGGAGTTTGAGTCTGTACGGAGGGCAACAATGACTTCATCATGACCTCATCCTTCTCTGCTAGAGAACTTATCAAAAGCATGTGATTTCCCTCTTTTGCACACTGGACCTTCACTAAGTCTTGGTGTTAAATGTTTTTCCTCTCTTAGAGAACGATCTTTGTGTGTGTGCTCACGAACACACTTCTCTTTAGTTTGTTGGGTTTTCTGGTCTTTCTGTTATCCATTTGATTTGTCTCAGCGTGCAGCTCTGGGTTTGGTTAGACAAAGCTAAGGATCTTTTAAGTTGGAAACAGTTGTACTCTGCGCCTGAGTCTTTGAGCTCGCTAAACGGGTCAAGTACACCGAATGAAAACAGATGAGACACAACGGGAGAAATGGTTTGTGTACCACGTTGTTACGCTGTCATAAATTACAGTTGTCTTTAATGTTGTAACTGAAACTGAGACTGAAGACTACACTTGATGTTATATTGATATTGTTTCTTCAAAGGCTTATAGACTTACTCCACAAAATAATATTTAAAAATGTGAGGATGAAAGAGAAATCACTGGTATAATAACCTTAGTACTGTATATATTGTTACATGGTGTATCATAACCACTGAGATTTGGTAAGGATGTACTTCCTTGTGTGTATTATATTGCTGTTTCTGTGTGTGTACATTCATACATTCATAGACAGCTTCTCTAGCTCAGACTCAGGTTCTGCCAGCATGGGTCTTCCCCCTGCAGTGAGAACTTGCACTAATACTAGAATTCTGTAACCATGGCAATTTGTTAAGCCTCTCACCATTGGAGTAGTAACAGTGCTGAACATTCAGAGGCCAATGTGATCCCTGTGGTCATTGCCTATTAAAGTGTCTAATCCGTAATCTGTCAAGTGCACCTTAAAAAGATCAAGTCTCTGAGGCTGGATAAGTCCAAACTCTATGAGATACATTAATAATGTAGGTTGAAAAAGGCAAAAACAAACTTTTGTTTGGATGGTTATTTGAGTGATTTCTTAATAAAGAAAAGCACTGACCCACAGTTGAATGTTGAATTCTAATGAAAT